AAAAACAACATAGCACAGGAGGCCGCCTGCATTCTAGAAAGAGTGCAGAGAAGAGCAACAAAGATGATTAGGGGCCTGGAGACTAAAACGGATGAAGAATGGTTGCAGGAACTGGGGATGTCTAGTTTAATGAAAAGAAGCACTAGGAGTGACATGATAGCAGTCTTCCAATATTTCAGGGGTTGCCACAAAGAGGGAGACAAGCTATTCTCCAAAGCACCTGAGGGCAGGACAAGAAGCAATGGGTGGAAACTAATCAAGGAGAGAAGCAATTTAGAACTCAGGAGAAATTTCCTGACAGTTAGAACAATTTATCAGTGGAACAACTTGCCTCCAGAATTTGTGAATGCTCCAACACTGGAAGTCTTTATGAAGATGTTTGATAGCCATTTGTCTGAAATGGTATAGGGTTTCCTGCCTAGGCAGGAGGTTGGACTAGAAGATCTCCAAGGTGCCTTCCAACTCTGCTGTTGTATTGCATTGTATTAATATCCATTAATGTCCATTAATGTATTAATATCCAGAAAAATCACATCCTTGGGCTTGTCACCCATGTTTGTTACCCAGAAAACAGGCTGGGAAGTTAAACTGTCCCTCAAACCTAAGAAAAGAGAGCTGTAACAATTTAAGGATTAGAGCAAGACATGTGCTTTCATGCTCTTGACAGAGGCTTGATTCATTGAAAAAAGGCTCCTTGGTTTTCCTCCACAGAGTCGGAAACATGCAAGCAAAGTTCGCCTTTACTACATGCTCCACCCCATCGATGGAGGATGTCCTGCAAAGAAGCTTCGGTCAGAAAATGTGAGTGTTCTTCTGTCTTTTACTTGCCCAAGAGGGACTCAGATTGCTCATCTCTTTCTAAGAGAAGAATACTGTCCAATTATTAGCTTGCATTGTCTCTCAATCAGGGGTGGGTTGCTGACGGCATTACTGCTGGTTCGGTGTGCAAAAACTTTTGTGCATGCATGCACTCTGCGCATTTGCATAATTTACACCTAAAAAGACTTGCGCATGTGCACATTAAAAAAGAAATAAAAATCACCTTTTTGCAATGAAGATTGTTCATGCACAGAACCAAAAATCAAGATGGTGGCCAAAGCCGTGATGAGACGACGTGCAATCTCAAAGCTCTGAGATCACAGTCGACACTTTTATTAATGTGGGGTCCCAACGGACCTAAATCATCCCGAAGAGATGGTGAATAGGAAGATTACGTCTTGCTGATCTCGGGGATATTGCAAAATCTCAGAAAGAAGCAAGAAAAGGTCTTTGAGACGGTAATAAAAATTCCAGTCTTTTGTCAAGACTGACAAAGTCAGGGTGGCCCCTGAACAGACCGATGTGG